GTTACCCCCAAACCTATATAGCCATCTTTGGAAAAGATCTCTGGGATACCATACCTCTTAGAGAAAATGATGACTGTTTGGATGTGGAAGTGAACCCTCCTGTCTACTGGGAAGTCCTAGTCACCCCCTGCCACTTACCAGTTTTGTTACTGTTGTAACATATCAATGACTTTATTTAGAAAAGAAACTTGTTTGGTCTACTGACCAATCTTCCTATGCAACGACATTTGTACACACACATGCACAGACACACACACACATACACAATGAGGTGTCTTTAGACAATAAATGCTGTTAACAATTCAGCAATTGATCTACTGCTACAAAAAATATGTACAAGGCTTCAAGGATGAGTACATTTAGGATTCATACAAATAGTAGTAGTAAACATGTATAAAACATTATAGGTGAGTACATGATAACAGTGTTGTAAGAAGTAGTAGTACTGAATTAAGCAAAATCATACAAAGGATTGTTTCCGTAGATTTAGACTAAGAAGCTTTCTAAAAGCTTGGCTGTGTCAGATGACCTTATATAAGATGGAATGGAATTCAATACTTTGGCTCCAGTAAAAGCAAAACTCTTCTTATAAAAGTCTGAATTTGGTTTAGGTTAATATAACTTGTTGTTTGAGATGGATACATATGTACATTTTTAACAAAATTTAAACTTACATATAAGATAATAGGAGACAAAACAATGTGAGGATTGACAGACTAGTAAATCCTTCTGAAATTGGGTTCTCTGCTGAAATGGAAGCCACTTTAGGGTTTTAAATAGATTTGTTGATGGTATATCTGTAACAGCAGCATCAAGAAAATCTTTAGCTGCTTGTTTGTGAAATTTTGGTAATCTTTCCTAATTTCCTGTACCACCTGTAAATACTTATAGAACAACAGTATTCTAGGTGTGGTGATATATGTGCATTATTGAATATCTTTTATTTTCAAGAGATAAAGCAGTGAGTTAACTTTTCAACTTGTATTTTCCAGCACAAGATATTGTCTATCTAAAACAGACTTTGTATTCAAGTGAAAAGGCAAATGTCAGCTAGGTAAGAGCTCTCATTGCCCACTTTGGTCTTTTATTATGAATTTGTGTTTTGGTATCCTGATCATCAGATGGGTGAGAAAGATATAAAGTTTACTTATGCTGGTTTATCACATAACCTAATGCACCTTGTTCAATCAAATCACATTCATTACAAATTTTGTTTCTCATCAACACTTTATGAAGGACTGGATGGATTTAAACTAATTTTGCTGTACAGCTTACTTGAAGATCACCTTGGTCAGGTTTGGCATCTTTCTGGCAAATTTTACAGAACTATGTCCCTGTTTGACTTTTGCATTATGCTGTTAGGGGACATCTATGTCATACTGACAAAATTTCTAGTTTTTTTTGTTGCAAGAAATCATGATCAGCAAAACCATCACTTGGCAATTTCGTTTGAAGTTACAGATGTAACTAATAAAAAATACATGCAATAATCCTTACTGAGACAGAAAATAAGATAATTGATTCACAGATATTATACATGTGATCAGACATAAACCAATAACAGTTTATAATTGCCAGTACCTACTTAATTGATCTAATATATGTATCAGGTTTGGATCAAACAGACATATCAAGTTTGGCTAAAGTTTCTTTGAGAATGGAGCAGTGATAACTCAGGTGATTGAGTGTTGGATTCATGATTCAAGGGTTGCAGTTTCATTACCCACCCAAGCAAGACTGGCGTGTCTTTCCAAAAGGCACTTAGCTCCTATTTTTCTACATGGTATAGGCAGTAATGTATAAAAATTGCATTTCAAACCAAAAAAAACAAGAAAAAAGTTATTTGATGAAATTTTCTATTGTGTTGCTCATGATGCTTATGATAACTGAGACCAAACTTTTAACAGACACTTTTGTTACTTGTGATTTTGAAGTTTACATGTAATGGTTCAATACTTTAGTCTCTGTTATCACCCATCAACGGAAGAAAAATTAATTATTTCATTGAGATGTATATTTCAGGTTCAGTTTAATTGTTACAGCAGGTTTAATAGTTTTTTTAAAAATAAAGTACAACATTTAAACTCGGGGAATCTATAGAGAGGCAAAGAATACATGTGAGTTTTTTTATCCAATAAACAAAGAAGAAAAAAGTACAATGTAAAGGGGTATAAGCAGACAGGAAAATTTTGGCAGTTACCTGTAGATTAAGAAAGACTCAACCAGCTTGATCCTTTACAAGAGTGTGGGAAAACAAAGGGATGAAATTACCTGTGAACTAAATGACTTTGTCAAACAAATTCCTCTTTGCAAGGTATTAGTTGTTTTGATGTAATCTCATTGGATAGACTATCTTTTGTTCATCACTAGGTGGGCACTGTATGGAAACAAACTTCTCACTTTTTCTATTGATTGTTTTGGTTTGTTGGGTAGGTGTTTTGGTATGTAGGGTAGGTTATGGAAAATTACATATTTTTGCAGTTTAGCCTTAGTCACAATTGACATGAAAGAAAGAGCTTTGTTGACATGGATGTGAATGTTTAGGCCTATAGAGTAAAATCAAACAGGATAAAAGAGGGATGTTTGTTTGTTTTACTTCTCATTTCACACTCATTCAAGCCATTAGAGAATACAGTGAGTGTAAAAGAGGTAAGAATTGTCAATACAGTCTACAGCAACATGTAAATAAGCATAGTCAATACACCAACAAAAGAGCTGGAGATAAGAATTTAATAAATTAAGTATTTCAATCCCAGGTTTGGAACTTAAATTGTGAATTTTGGGGTTTATTCAATAGGGCATTTCATGACCACAGCAAACCACAAACCAGAGTTTTTATCATCTGGAGATTAATTATGCCTTTTTGAATGAATCAAATGGCTTGGTGAGCAGAGACTGTCTTTAAGAATATTGTGTTTAGCTAAACAACTAGATTTGATTGTGTGGTCAAGTACTATCATTTCAACATGCATGGAATATCTAGAACTTTAAGCAGTTACATAGTTTATATTGATGAATCTCACAATCATGAAACATGGACTGTACTTTTTGCATAAGTAAACTGCTTAATACAGTAAAACCTGTCTTGAAAGACCATTGCTATGTGAGCCCACCTGTTGTGAGAGACCACAATCTCAATGCACAAATTTATTGATTATGTAGCTTTGTGACCTGTTTTAAGAGATCATCTGTCTTTCAAGACAGGTTTAAGTGTATTAAAATTTTGTAATTTGAATGTACTCAAAATTTCTGTATACTTTTAATGCAGTGCTTTGCAGACATGACACTGGGTTACATTTATCCCAGATATTTTTGTTTTTATGTGTCTGTACTATTTAGCCAGAACACTGCATGCATACATACATACATACATACATACATACATACATACATACATACATACATACATACATACATACATACATACATACATACATACATACATACATACCTACATACATACATACATACATATTGACTGACTATGCTTACTTGATCCAGTCTGAGGTTTTGGTTAGGGCACCTTCTCAGTTATTGCAGCTGAGCATTGAATGTTATCTGTAAATACATTTCTGGTTAAATCATGTTTGCTTACAGAGAGCAGTAAATTTTCCAAATAAATGTAAAACACTTGCATTTGTTTATCCTAATAAAAGTTTATGTTTGTGAAGGTTTCTCTAGCTAGAACTTTACAGCAGACTAAATTTATGATGCTGACCAAATATATATACAATTCAAGTCTTTGAGAGTTGTAAAATCAACCTCATTGACTTGTCATTTTTGGCAGTTGATATCAATAATGATGTTGAGATGTTGACGGTAATAATGCATGGGAAACACTGCTATGACATGCTTTGTTATAGCACAAATTTTCTAATGCAGCAAGGTTGTCATGGTTCCTGACCTTTTGTTTTAGATGTCCCCTATTTCCTGACAACACTCAAAACATTAGCCAATACAATGAGAAGATAAAAAATAATTCATTTAAATTTCACTTGCAGCATATAAATCATAATTAATGCTCTTACAAAGCAATGATTAATTTTCCATTAGGCAAGAGGCTATCTGAATCCAGATTGTTATATTAAATTTTGGTCTATAGAAAAATGAATACAAATATGTCACACCAATGAACAGCATTATACTTCATCTATTAGACCGCTCTGGTGGTTAATGGTTAGCGCATTCACGGGGTAGTCACAAGTTTGAAACCTGGCCAAATCATACCAAAGACTTCTAAAAATGGTACTAATAGCTGTCTCAATAGACACTGGGCATTAAAAGGTTAGGTATGGTCGACCTAGTGTCATGATGTGACTGGGTGGGACTTGATGCTACATGTCTGTGGCATGATGCCCTCCAGTGCTAAGCATCACTGTAAACTGCTACACTGTGGACATTGTAGTGATATGACTGAAAATTTTGTACAGCCACATTAAAAATTTAAATCACATAAATATGATGGATTATGTAACACAGGCAATGACTTGGTTCACAAATTAGCTATTGATTCCAGATTATATGCATGTTTTACTGTTTAAGCCTCTCAGAGGTGTTTTACATAAAGTAAACACTAAACCTCAAACATAAGTCTATGGAGTATTTGGTAACACTTGAATGACTCCCTCATTTCTTATGCCTTTGGCTTTGGAAAACTGAAACTTTGCCTGTAGTGCTTCTGCTTTGAAGGTTTTATAGAATCATGTGATCTTAAAGATAAAAATGGTTTTTAATCAAAGCAATAAAAGTAGAAAGTATGTTATATGTGTGACTGTGTGATTTGGATTTTTAATGTAGCTTTAACAGTTTTTCAGTCACATCACTATGATGTCTGTATTGTGGCAGTTTATAATGATGTGAAGCACTGGGGTATCATTCCACAGACATGTACTATCATGTCATATTATCTAAATAACCAAGTTGATTAGTCCTAACACTAACCTCTTAATGCTGAGCACCAAGCAAGGCAGCTGTTAGTACCAAGTTTAGAAATCTTTGGTACGACATGGCTGGGGTTCAAACCAGCAACCTCCTGCATCCAAGGTGAGTACCCTAACCACTAGGCCACTGGACCAGTCTACATCATGCATACAGTGTTCCCTATTATAAAAATTCTCAATGCAGCAATACTGTGTACTGCTTTAATATGAAACAGATTATGCATATGGTACTCCCTCATTATAACACTGCCCTTGGAAGCCATATCATATACTGCAAAATAATAATAAAGGATACTATACATTGTTAATACTACAGTAGGATCCATGACCATACTCACCTTATAATGGGAAATGTGTAATCCTGAAGTGCCTTATAGTGAGGGATTATTGTATTAAGTTCACAAGTATTCCAATGCCTCTTTATAATATGGTTGAATGTGAGGTTTTTTGTTTTACTTGTAATAAATGACAAGGCAATAATATAAAGCAAGTAAGTTTATATTTGCAGTATTTTCCTTTACTCATATCAATGGAAAAGTAAGTATTGTGTATAGGTATGCCATGCAAGGCACAATAACCTTTGGAATTTCCTGCCATCTATAAACTCTTCATGGGCACTTCTTGTTGTATATGGCTCTTGTAGATATAGGGAGCAAAACCTGAATTAATTATTCACTGAGAAAGTGAATGATTATTCAGATTTACACAGTTAGGGGTCAAGACATACTTTACTTCTCAAAAGTGTTTGAAGAGTACCAATTAAGAAGTCATTAAAAACACTCTGGTTTATTCACCATTCTCATTCAAGACTGTACTTTTACACCAATCTCCACCCCAAAACCCCATATAAAGCAGTTTTAAAATTTTTTAATGTATCTTGTATTGCAGCTAAAAGAAAATTAGGGTTGTGGACTGTTAAATGTCTTAAGGGATTCCCAAGCTTACAAAAGAACTATTATTCACCAGAGAAGAAAACCCATATTTTTAATGATTGTCTCTGACCTGTGAACCATTCAAATTCCAGAAGGTCATTACAGTTTTATGGCTGTTTAATTTCACACACAACATATGGTCATTTAAAGGGTGTTCACATGCAGTACAAGCTGGGTATGTACAGTAGTGATAACATATGTTTCTTTTAGTTCAGTTGGTGCTGTTAAAGATTAAATCATCATGTCAACTGAGTCTGTAATTTTACTTTTAAATATTTCCTTTTGTTATGGCCATCTTTGCCCATGTAGATATATTAATCATATTTAGTTGGTGTCACCAAAATACATAAGGAATTCCTTTCTTGCCCGTTTTGCCTGTTGAAAGATTATTGTTACATTGAGAAGTATGTATTGATACAGGTGAGACACTAGGTCATGAGAATCACATGTTAAAAATTTTAACCAAAACTTTGTTACTCTGATGTGGGGGTGGGGTGCAGGTTCAAACCCCAGCCAAGGCATACCAAAGATTTGTAAGATTAGTACTAGCAGCTGCCTTGCTTGGTACACAGCCTTAAGTGGTTAGGGATTGGTTGGTCTGCTGTCAGGATAATATGACTGGGTTGGACATGATGCTGCATGTCTGTGGCATGATGCCCCAGTGCAAGATATTATAAATGGCAGCACTATAGAAAAAGTGATAAAATCGGAAAATTGTTAAAGCTGTTTAAATTCCAAATCTCACAAACACACACACACACACACATACACACTTACGCTTTGTTAACAGAAGCAAAAACCAACTAGGATACACAAATTAACTTTTATAGGCATTGTTACATTTATATGTTGTAACCTGATCAAATTTGTAATCCATTACAACAATAATTTTATTTATTTTACTTATTTTTTAATCTTTTTTCTTTTTGAACATTATGTTGCAGAACAATGAGAACTTGAGATAGACAAGTTAGAATTTAAATATTTGTATGCATATGCATATAGATGACTAACTGCAGTTTTCATCATACATGTATTAGATTTTTCAGCCTGTGTTGGGGGTGTAAGTATTTTACAATCATGAATATTGTTAAAATTTATACCATTTTGTTTCTTTTTGACTTCTAAGACATAACTTCCTGTGAAGATTATTTACAGATTTAGTATTGCTTGATAATAAATGTCAGAGGACAAATGTATGATAATTTTTAGCACATTCACAAATAAAGTAGCAGCTGGTAATAGGAATTAGTTGCTTTGCCAATTAGTAGAAAATGATGTAAACTTATTGATTCTCTACCCTAGTCATGCCATTTTACTGTCTTTATTTAACAGTTACATTCTGTCAGTTACTGAAAAAATGACAGTGAAGTACACTGTACATGCATTTGCCCTTATGAGACTTGACATGCAATTTAAACAAGCATCATGGAAATTCCTTTATGGAATGGAGAGAGCTCTGGTAAATCATTTGGCAGAACATCAGGATAGAATAGTATTATGGGCTCAGTACCTGGCCTGGCTTTCTATCCCTGGTTAGCTATCTCAACATGTCCTTGGGGAATGGTAGTTAGCTCCCATTTCCATGCATAATATAGTCATTGGTGTGGTTTAAGGTCAATTCATCAGGAAAGACTTGTTCAATGAGTTAGCCTTTTGTATGACTTTTATGATGTGCCCTTATAGACAAGTCTCTTTTACTCCAATTTCCACAGCATAATGTGTCTTTCTTGTAATGATATGTTGCAAAAGCAACACCAGATTAATGAATCAGCATCTTTTCATGCATATTAATGCATGAACTTTTACTAATTGGTTTTATATTAGATGTAAATTTATTTAGAAAATTAGTTGGTATTTACATCAATCATTCATAAGTGAACAATCTGGACCATTGCCCAATATTGGTAATTGCAACATAAGAGTCCAGTGTGCTATACAAGTGACCATTCCATTATTTTGTTCTAGTGAGGAAATAGCAGGACATTAAATTTGCTAGAGATGCCAAAACAATTTGCACTACTATAAGTAACAAGTGTCTCACAGTATACTAAGTATTTCTTGAAAGATAAGACCAGGAAAATAAGTCTGTTTATATATTTTTTTATAATAAGAAAGGATTTGATAGGATTATTATCAGACAAAGCATGCAGTAAATATTTTCTGTTCTTTTTCAAAAACTGGTTGGATTTGTCATCAAGCATGAACTTCATCAAGTTCTAACTGCGCACCACAAAATGTTTTGTAGTGCTTTATTTCTGTAGAAAATATAAAGGTAGACTAGTACACTAGAAATATTGCACAACTTGACATTAGTTATGGGTTTATCATCAAGCATGGACTTGTCATCCAGCATGAGCCTATCATCAAGCAGGGGCCTATCATCAAGTATGGACTTATCATCAAGTTTGGGTCTATCATCAGGCATGAAGTATCATCAAGCATGAGCCTATTATCAAGCGGGGGCCTATCATCAAGTATGGACTTATCATCAAGTTTGGGTCTATCATCAGACATGAAGTATCATCAAGCATGGACTATTAAAAATAGCCATATCGCCAAACTTTGGTCAATTAAGATGGGCGTATCATCAAGCAAGGGCTTATCATTGGATAAGTAAGGTATATGTCTGCCTTCCAACAGTGTAAATGTGTACAAGAAATGCTGCCTTTTCAGACTACAAATTTTAGCTAAGTTTCTGCCATTGTACAGTAACTGATTTTGTTTTATGACTGGGAGAATCTTAATACTGATCAAACATTGACTGTCATCGTGCCTGAAAGTGATATGCTTGTAATAATGCCATACTTTAGGGTAAATACAGACTGAATAGAAATGTGTAGACTAATGAGGATATTCTGTAAATAATTCCTCTAATTTGCACTTCCCTTTATGAAAATGATGCCATGATTTGCTTTGTCAAATTTGTCTTTATTACAAAGGAAACAGGTGGCAGTTAATTCAGTACCTATATCCTTGCAGCATTTCATTTTCAACCCTTATTAGGTTTATAGGCCTCTTATTATTGTACTAAATTTGGATTAAGCTTGTGTACCTTTTTTCTGTGTAATATTAAAAAACATTAAAGAACATTGTGAGCTCTTTGTTTTCAAAACATGTATTAAGTTCCTTTAATATCAGAAACTGAAAGTAAGGTGTCAAGTGGTACAACATGGGACCTAATTAAGATCCTCCAAATGGTTAGAACTTAATTTATGTAACATTATTGAAATGTAACAATAGAATGAAAAGGGTTCTAAGAATAATGATCCTAAGTTAATGTTGTGTTATTTTACAGGCAATTTAGTCCAATCATGACTTCCCTTTATTGAAGCCTGTACTGTATTTAGCATGCTATAAGAGAGGTAAACCTTTAACTACACAAGGCTGACAGTTGAATAGAAGCTCCAAAGCAGACAGAAATATTGGAGTAGTAACAATAATGACAGACTGCTTTCCAGGACATTAGTTACTTGTACTCTTTTCTACAAAGGTTGGTATGATTTTACCCAAGAATTTATTGTTTTATGGAAGATATTTAGATGTTTCATAGGAACATTTTTCATCAATTCCACTTACCCTAAGATTTCTGAAAATTCACTTCAGTATATCTCTAGATTTTGTTTTTCATCAGCATTTTAAAGTCTTTATATGGCTGTGAAATTATTAAAAACGCTTAAGACTACTCTGATAGCCTTGTGGTTAGAGTGTCTGGCTCAGATGTTGAAGATTTTGGGTTTGAACCAGTACGAGTGATGCCAGAGACTTATAAAAATGGTACTAACACTGCTTCCTAGGTGCTTTAGCATTAAGAGGTTAGTATTAGGACATGTCAGCCTGGTGTCAGGATAATGTGTCTGGGTGGGACATGATGTTACATGTCTGCAGCATTATCCCTAGTGTCCAACATCACTATAAACTGCCTCATTGCAGACATCATAGTGATATGACTGAAATATTTTTAAAACTATTTTAAAAATCCAAATAACACAAACGCACACATGCGTATACACACTATAATGATTAAAGCCTGAAGTTTTTTAAAATTTATACAGCCTTCATTTTTATACACCCATTAAGGGACATGATGTAATTGTTTCATGATGTTTGTCCATCTGTTCCTAAGTGTGTTTCTACACAATGACACTAGTTCTCAATCTTTTTTTATCAGACTTTGTCAATAACTTACATTTGGTGA